TTGTATTTTTAACTTTTTATTGACCTTTTTCAAAAAATATAAAATGTATTAATATATTAGAGTATATTACAATTTTTATAATTTATAGTTTTTATAAATTTTTTATTTTTATTCAAGTAAATAAAATAGTTATGTTTATATTTGTAAATTCGATCCAACTTATTTTCTTTGTTTCTTTAGTGTTATTATATTTATGTTACGAAAAAATGAAAATTAAAATAAAATTAGTTTGCTGAGAATTAGTGTTTCAATGTGTTATATATAACTTGCAAATTAAATCATATTTCTATATGTGATATCAATAGTTTAAATTCAAGCTAATATTTTTTAATTTTATAATAGACTAAAAAAAACAAAAAAAAAAAAATAGTCGGTCTCTATAAAAAAAATTGTTATAGTAATTTATATTAAATTCAAGTTGGTTTACTTGAATCAAAGTAAATAAAAACATTAGAAAAACCATAAATAACTAAAATAGGAAAAAAAAATAGAAAGAAAAAGGTAAAAAGATAAAAAAAAATCAAATTGTTGAAAAAAAAAAGTTAAAAAATAAAAATAAATAAAAAGTATGTAAAAAAGAAAATAAAAAATGAATATATATTTATGGAAAAACCGAAAATAAATAAAGGAAACAAAAAACGAAAAATAAAGTTAAAAAACATGTGGTGTAATTTTTTGCGAACCCCAGGGACCAAATTTGAACTTTTTAGGACTGATTTTGTAAAAAAGTTAACCAAATTAACCATAAAACTCGTTAAGTGGGCTAGAGTGATAATTCTGCTAGAAAGTTGTGGCCATAGTAATAATAAAAAAAAATATTAGGGGCTTTTCCAATTACGTGTTAAAAATTTAAGGCTTTAATAATATTAGTCCAAAAATAAATTATAAAAAAACAATTTTAAAAATCACGAAAATAAGCATAAGACAAACATGTAAAAAACGTTTAAAAATACAATATTGAATAAGAAATAATTTTGAAGAAACAATATTGCTTTATATATATATATATATATATATATATATATATATATATATATATATATATATATATATATGTGTGTGTGTGTGATGCGGCGGCAGATAATAGTTTTTTCGTCGAGTTGCTTCGTTTCGGAGATATCATTTTTTTTCGGTGATTATGCTTTTTTCGAAGTGTTGTTTCGTATCAACGAACATATTCAGTTCGGTGCATTGTTTTGTTTTGGAAATTATAGTCTTTTTGTCGATTATGTTTTTCCGGCGTGTTGTTTCATTTCGGCGATTTCGTTTTTTTCGACGAGTTTTTTCATGGATTTTGTTTATTTCTCATTAGTTTCTTTAAAATGAAAAAAGATTTCTATTACAATAATTATTAATGTTATTTTGACAAACTATTTTGGGTAAAATTAAAAGTTTGTTTTTGCCGTCTTAAACTTCACTTGCAGATAAAAACTCATATTCGTATGGTTCTGCTCAAATAAAAAATGTTTAAAAGTTTAGTTTTAATGAAATTTGTCTTTATTTATTATTTTGTTTCATTACTTCTTCATATCTTTTTTTTGGTTGACATGTATAACAAAACATTAAAAAAGAAATTTCAACATCTTTTGTCATAATAACTTTGACCATTTAAACTTTACTTAATTTAACTACTCAACAACCTTTTTTTTAAACCACAACATGTATATTATGTTGGTGATTTTAGTGTCATCTTGTCATTTTATGTAATTGGAACTAACATGTGAGCTAAGGGCTTCATAATTTATATTCTAATATATGTACGAGTTTGTGCGGAGTGCACGCATGTATACGATCGAATTAAAAGCCAGTTCGACGACAAGTCGGGAGTCCGGGGGCAGCACCCCTGGTTCCGGGGTTTCCAAAGGGGCATCACCCCTTTGGCGGGGTCTAGGGCAGCGCCCCTAGAGGGGTCTAAGGGGTAGAGCCGTTGGCTAGGGTCCCACTTAGATATGGGAACATAGTGAGAAAATCAGATTCTTGAGGGTGATTATGGTAAAAGTAATGAAATTCATTAGTTTTTGAAACCCTAAATCCTCATTAAATTCCGGATTTCCCTGATTTGCTTCCAAAGCTACTCATGACGACCAACCCTAAGAGGCAAACCCTAATCTTGTTTATTATATAAACGGCTGTTCTCTTTGAGAAGATATAGACGATCGTTAGCTCACTTTTCTTCAAACGAACATAGAATCCTTCTAGCAATTTGGCTTACGATTTCTGTGCCTAGATTCGTAAGTGTGCTATTGGATTATCTTAGGCTGGATTTCTTGTAACCCAAACATAAGGTAGAAACATCAGTTCGGAAAGTGTTCACACAATCCAAGGGTATCCAGATCTCCAACATAAACCCTAATTCCTCCAACGCATTAAGTAAAAACCAACACAAACCTATAAGAAAGTACAAATGTAACAAAAACAAAACACAAACAACCTAAACTAAGGAGGTCATTTAGCCAATTAAGAAAAAATATCGCTAACAATAGCAACTTAGAATAGGAGATCCTAAAAATCACCAAAGCAAGGACGACACACCAAAATTAGATAGTACCATAACATTAAGGCATACCACATTCAAACTTGCTACATCTTTATTGTCATTTGCAACCCAACATCACAACAACTGCAATGTACTTCCATGGATACTATGAATCACAAAAATGATAATGAAGATCACTCATGTCACACCCCGACTGACGACGGAAAACGTCGGGGTTGCGACGTTTTACAATTGGATCACAGTCAACCACATATATCGAATACTTAACATATTTGAATCAATATTTTACAAACCTTTAAGTTTTGGAACTGAAATTACACCTTCATTTTAAACACACAACGGTAAACAAGTCAAGTTTATTCCCAAAAGAAAAGAACTATAATTTCCTTAAAACCGATGTCCTACCTCCGACTTCTTAGTTACCTGAGAATACACATTTTTAAAATACGTCAACAAAAATTGTTGGTGAGTTCGACAGGTTTTGACTCCGTGAGTCTTATAGAAAGAAATCTTTATAAAACGTGGAATGTTTAACGAAATAAGTTGTGAAAAACATGGTTAACAATCTTACCGATATGCTTCGTGTGAAACCCGATACTTGAAATCCGATACGAGTATCCATGTTAAAATACTTATGATAAAAGTAAATGTTAACATATTTTTGTGAAGCAAAATATTACGTGCTTATATAAATAAACACTACTAATCGGTTTAACAATCTACAAACAATATTTATACTATATACAACCTCATCATAGTTCGTATTAGTATTTTTGTATCCGGAATCTTATTATAATTCCCAATTGTTTGTGTTCGAAAACTTTTGGTTGTAACGCTTAATAATGTAAAGCTACCAAAGTTTTAACAGGACCACAATCGTATGTGTCCCTATACGAGTTTAAACAACACGTCGGCTGTAAGTGTTTTTACACGAGTTTAAACAACACGTCGCTGTAAGTGGCCATAACAAATGTTTAGACAGTACTCCAACTGTAAGTGACCATAACAATGTTTAGACAATACTCCGACTGTAAGTGACCATAACAAATATTTATACAGCACCCCAGCTGTGAGTGATAAAAACCAACATATTTCAAATCATCTTATGTCATAAGGCTTTCAACATGATCATATTAGAAACACTTGTTTGTAATTAACACTTTTTGTGACCCTTAAAGTGTGTGATTTAAACAGTATCATGAGTTGTGTTTCTCTTATCTACATCAATACTTTATGTATGCATTTGAAAGACTAAACAACAAGGTTAATCAAAAGGGCAATTTTGTCCATGTTTTTAGAAAAATTATAGAAAAATCATCGTAAGTCGGAATTAGGATCCATAAACTCTCAGAGATTAGAAAATGAGTCTACTTTGTCCATAATTTTTACCCTGACCTTAAGTGGGTCCTAACCAGAGTGAAAATGTTCATTTTTACAGACTGGTCCGAAAATGTCTGAAATGATAGGTAGTTTTGTAAAAATCTTCATAAATTGTAGAAAAATCGTATGAATGCATGCGAGTAGTCCTTGAAAAGGTAAAGACATTAAATATTTGAATATTGTACATTTTTGAAAACCATAAAGTTTAAGAAGGGTAAAACAGTCCTTGAACAGACCATAACTTTTCTGTAAAAAGCTGAAATTTAAGCTTAGATATGTTTAGTGACATAACTTCTATTTTCAGTTGACTAAACCTTTAAATCATCCAACTAGAGTTTTTTTTAGTGTGTATTCTCCCACAAAACTTGTAAAACATAAAATAGGGGCCATATAAAACTCACTTTTGTTGCGTAAAGTTATTGTATTTAAGA